TCACAAAGAAGCTTTGTTGCCGTGGATATATTTATTGTTTACACCAGCAACAGCACAGCCATGTAGTCATCAAGAGACCTCTTTCACGACCTTAAAAACACTTTAGCAATATGTGAGTCAAACTTCTTGTGCACCTTTTCCCATCCCCTATGGTCTTCTTGTAGTTCAAAGCCTGGTGACAGACACACAAACCCTAAGAATCGTGCAACTTGGTCTGCTGTTAGGGAGCTCCCGAAGATTTCCGTCATCAAGCTTTCGTTGTAGACTAGGTTCCTAGGAACCTTAGAGTTTGATTCTCCTCCAAACCGCTTTAGTGAAAATAGCACTCTGCCCGCTTGGTCTTCGGTCTCGGATTCACCCACATCTAGAAGCACGTCCGCCGCAGGAGAGACAACCAGTTCCACTGAATGGTTTGGAGCCAGTTGAGCACCCTTTGGCTTGAAACCGAAGAGGGTATTGCCGGACTTTGAAGATGTGTAGTCTTTCCCATCTTCGGCTGTACTTGTATCTGAGTCGCTTCCGCCAGCAACAAACAACGGATAATCATCTTGTTGATGTCTGGTTTCGCGGAAACGGAATTGGTACTTGTGAAACAGCGTGAAGTCAACTTCCGCTTTGAATTCAACGTCGTGTTTGAACTCTTGTTTCTCTAGACGAAGTTCGGAGATCTGTGATTGTGAATGAGGGTGAGTGATTGTCTATCTCAATCTTCTTCCTGAAAATCAAATGTTGAAAGTCGAACGTTGAACTAAAGTGCTTACTAAAGGAATCTTCTTCTTCTATGTCATGTTTGTGTCCCTAGTATCGCCTTTCGTGACGACCGTAGCGCTTCAGTAGGGCTGCAGTTCGAAAAACTGAAATAAGCAAGTAACTGATCATCATAATAACCGAGATACTGATCAGAAGGAAGTGTGGCCTTGATGTTAAGCTGCCTCCCGCCTTATTTCAGTCAGTAACTCGGTTATTTTGAGTTTTCGAATAGTTGTACATGATCTCTTCTCAATACCAACTGTTCCACTCTCGAACTCCTCGTGCCTTCCGCCCACAATTTCATTCGCTGACGTAATGACCGCGACTGCTCACCTGCTGCGAGTAGAAATTTCTCGTCTGTCTCGAGATCGGCTTCGGAATCTTCTGAGAGGTCTTCGAGGTCTTCGACCTCCATAGAGCAGGTCGCGTGATCCATAAACATTTTTTTTTGTTGGTGATTGTGTTTGACCTCAATATATTTATATATGGAGTAACAAGTATAAACTTGTTTGGACTTGAGGAAGGTACTAGAAGCAGCTTAATGTTCTTTGCTTGATAAGTATACCCTTGTTGAGTATATCCTTGTTGTACTGCTCTTGATAAGTTGTATATCCTCTTGATAAGTACTTTTGGCATAGCTTTAGCTCCCCCTTTGCATAAAATTTCTCATCTTTTACTCTCACTCTCTGCTCATGTTCATGGTGGAGAACATCATGAAGGATCATGGCCTTCGTACTTTGCCATTTTTGCCACCTGATCATTCGCCAAGGTCTCATGCTATTCGGGAGCAAGCCCGCCATCGCTGCATAAAGTTCCACTCCTCGTTGCGGAATATCAAAAATTCAACATGTAGTTGCGGGACCATGTGAGATAAGTCTCCCTACCACCGGTATATCCAAGGGAAAACGCATAAGAACTATAATGTTGTAGTTACTTAGTACTATCACGACAGGCGTAGACGTTCGAAACAGATTCATATTATGACAATCACTGTGATTACATCATGAGATTTAAGTGTATAAGATTTGCGAAAAAATGCCACAGTCATCATCTTCACATCTCGTCACATCTCGCAGAAGTTCAGTCCCATTCTTGCAGATGCAAGTCCATCGAGCATGAAGTTGTAGACAAAGAGCGATATCCCTGCACCCGGACCTGACCGCGCTATGCGTGGCACAAAACCTCTCCACAGTTGAGAAACGCCCTCGTTCCTTGCGATGTCAAGTATCACGGCTACAGCCGATGGACTAAAGCGATTGCGCATAGACCGGTAGGATGCATGCTGTTGTTGCTGATGACTCGCATTTGCAGAGCTGTGCCCGCTGTAGCTTGCGCTGTAGTTTGGCGAAGATGCGCTTGCTCCGGGGAAGAATGTCTTCGAGGCTGTTGATGGAGTAGAACTTGTGCTGGTCGAACTAGACGAGGGTTTACAACTAGTAGGAACTGCTTGTGTATGACATGAAGAGTGTTGGGGCTTGTAGTTTTTAGCAACAGTTGCTCTTTGTTCTGCGACTGTGCTGTTCGGATGTGATGCGCTTGCCTTAGAAGTGGGAGTGACTTCGTGGGGTTTCGCTGGGAGCATAACTGTAGAAGTATTCGCTCCTGAGGGATTCATGTTCTTGCATGTGCTGTCAGCTACTCCCCCAACACTTCCGAGCGGCAAATTCCTGCTGCTAGTACTAGTTGTACAACTCTTGTTACTCGAGCTCGACGATTGACTGTTCTTCAACATGTAATTCGCTATGTTTGGTGAAGGGGACGTAGAGGAAGGCACTGGTCTGCTACTACTTTCGTGTGAAGATGTGGGGTAGTTGTAGAGTCGTTTATGGGGGTAACGACGCATTGCGGCATCTAAATCTGCCGGGTCGTGCCAGGAAAATTCGCCCATACTCGATGGGCAATGACAATCGGAACCTCTGAAAGATGTTACTGTGTAGGTGGTGGTGGTTGGATGAACTATGACTGAGCCAGCTCCATTACTCTTCGACTTACGTCCATGCTGTCGCCGTTCCTTGCACCACAGGTCTTCTATCGTTGTGGTGTAGTAGGTGTAAGTGAAAGCTCGGCGCCTTTGTTGAAGGTTACTACAAACAAAGCTGTAGTTCCGGAGAGGAGCAGCGCCATGGTCGTAGGGTGCGAGAGCACAGGAGACCGGGTCGGTTGCAAGAACAGCGGAGGAGGAGCAGGCGCCACGATTTGGTCCACGCAACACACCAGTGAAAAAAGTTGACCACGAGGAGAGTACAGGCAATAGCCTTGTCGACCCAGTGTAGCATCCTTTCCAAGTTGGGGTGTAATGAGAACCGCGGAAATTTCTTGTGTGGCCACCTAATGCACAAGAACTCCGTTTTTCGATGCAGTCCTCTACCAGGAAGGATGAACTAGAGGAAGCGGACTTGTTACTGCTTCCGGACAAAGGAAGCACTTTATTCCGTAGGCGCGCCAAAGTAGCTCCAAGTCTCTGCGTGCCTTCCTTCATGCTCCTGGTTTTGGCTCCTCTAGAGGATGACGAAGAAGATGAAGAAGAGGAAGATGAAGATGATGATTCCGTGTGGACATGGGTAGAGGCCTGCTGTAATACCTCTGGATTGAAACAGGCAGCTGTTGTCGCTTGTATCCGTGTTTTTGCTATGTCAAAGGGCGCACCGAAAAATGAACTCAAGATACCCGCGAAAGCTCCTGTAGCGAAGGTTTCGGCTGCAGAAGACGTAGAAGTAGATGTAGTAGAGCTAGATGAACTACTAACACTTAGTACACTTCTAGTACTTGACGAACCGCTAGAACTACTACCGCTTTTAAACAGGCGTTTGTCTCTGAGCCATGCTGTACTTGAAAAAAAGACACTGTTCCAGACGAAGCCTCTTTGCATCGTGCACGAAAGCCCGCGAACTAAACCGGCATAGCCCTCGTGTGTCACTATGTGTCGTAGGGTATTTGGTAAGCCCTTGTTGTAGACGTCTCGATATTGCGGGAGCTGCATGCGGATCTTCGTCAACTCACTGGTTGTAATGATGGGGGCTTCGGTTGCTCCGGTGAGGCCGCCGGCGAGGAAGGCGGACTGTCGTGATGGGGTAGATAGAAAGGCTTTTTGATAAGATAATGTCTTTCATCTCAGTCCTTGGAGACCTTGTACTTCAGCGACCACCAATTCAGCAACTGACTTTCAGAGTAAATTTAATACCTGATAAACCCCCCATCCATACTTATCCCGCAGCTCACCAGTGCATTGACCTTGAAAAGCAAACTTCCACGCTCGTTTGGGTAGCTCCACTGCCAGAGGAAACTGTATCCCGCGATAAACGCCTAATCTTTCACTTCGCAGAGCAATGTACACGCGTCTGGGGAAGGAGTCTCCAGGCGTGCAGCGATGTGAGGTGGTTCTTTGTGAGGTGGAAGAGGAGGAGGAGGATGAGCTTGAAAAAGAATATGAGCTTGATGAAGATGAACCGCCTAGATTTCTTGAGGTTGAAGAAGATGAGCCTCCTGTTCCTGACATCGTTGAGGTTGAAGACGACGATGTTGACGAAGCTGCTCCCTTACCCTTCTCATTCTGCACACGTGTTTTGACGACATCGATTGGATAGAGCAATGTCATATCAACAAGACCAGACGTTGCGCCGGCGATCATACGATCAGCGGCGGTGGGTTCACCGTATTGAGTGCTCATTTTGTAGGTTCTTTTTCTTTGTTAATGATGATGCAACTACTTAGTAGCGGGGATGCGCAAGTAAGAGCACTAATGCTTATGTATTCCCGAGGAAGAACTTCACCTCTACTTCGACAAAGTAGATATTTTCACTCCCAGCACAACTTGACGTAAGGATAACAACTACTCCACAGTGTTTTATTTATATCTAGCAATACCCCTTGTCGCACACGCACTAGTAAAGAAAAATCACACGACCACTCATACCTCGCGCCTTCTCCGGGTTCTCTTGCCTGTCAAATTATCGAAGTCGAATCCATATAAGATTCCAAAACCAAGTAAAACGAACACGAACCTCAGCTACGTCATCCACGGTGTTTCATCCCATAGTCATAGTCCGTCTGCTACGGGCACGGGCCTCGTCAAAAATTATAAGTGCAACAAACTGGAGTCGCTTTCTCTTCCTTGTCGCGTGGTGTTTTTTGTTCATGCGATACAATTACACCCGTTCTGCAAACATAAAATATCAGCTTCATAAACATGGAGGAGAAAGAACGAGAATCCTTGTACTCAGCGTAAGTAGACGAAACTCATGAGTGTTGAGATATGGAGGTGCTAGAAAAATTTGGCATGTATCAAGTGCAATTTGTTCGAGGAGTAGGCGAAAATTGAATGATCAATGGCAGGATTCTTCAATTGAGGTGTTTTTATAACGAACTTTTTGCAACAAACTTCGGTCAAGATGTAGAACTACATGATGAAGTAGTAACGTTTCTACACTAGCACTAAATTTCCCCAACCCCATCGTGCTGGTGCTGTACTTCCACTGGCCCCACTGCTGTTTCCAGGCGTCGTCCCTCCGGGTGTGCTACTTGATCTTCTTGATGTTTTGCTGGCGCTTCTTCTTTCGTCTTGATCTTCTTGACTTCTACAGTTGCCGGTCGTGCTTCCTCTTACTTCAACGCCTCCTAGGGTATGATCCACAAGATCTTCAGGATCTTCCTCTATTTCCAAGTAGTCTTCATCAGCATCACCCTCGACAGAAGATTTGCATGAAGGACGTCGATCAAGAACTTCATGATGACCCACAGCACGACGAAGATGACCTGCACTTGTAAGAGGACTAGACTTGTTTGAGGATAACTTGGCCGCTTCCACCATCTTCCTCCTCCTTTCAGATTTCTCCTCTTGCGCGAAGGTCTCACGGGCCGCCATGAAATCCTCCACAAAACGATGACGCAAGTCGCGATTGGGCGACCTCAGGCGTCCAAACGCACTTTGTAACGCGCGTTCATACTTTTGAGCTTTACTAATGGCGCTCGCCTTCTCGCGATCGTATCTGAGCTGTGCTTGTTTCGAAGCTCTTTCTTGCTCTGCTGCTTGGTTGTTGCTCATATACGTTTGGTCTGGCGGCAATAGAACTTCTCCAAAGCTGTCTTCCCCTTGCTGCGGCAAAAGATGGTCGCGTTGTGCTGGTGGTCTGGCTGTTCCTCGCAAAGGTGAGTGCCTAACAACTGCTGATGTCCTTCGAAGTCCACCACGCAAAGCTGTCCCGCCCGTAAAGATTGATGTCGTACCACCGATATTAGATGGTCTGCTTCTACTATTGGGTCGCCAACGCCCTTGTAGGGAAGTAGTGAGACGACTGAAACGATCCCGAGATGAATTATGCGAGGGTGAAGGTGATGAATGCGAAGGCGATGAACGCGAAAGCGCCTCGCGTTGTGCCCCCGTTTCAATTCTTCTTCTCCTTGCTGGTGGACTTAGACTTTGACTCGTAGAAGCAGTTCCCGTTCCCCTTACCAGATTCATCTTCAAAGATCTCATTTTTCTTGCAAGTTTTCTTACCTTCTTCCCTTGCTCTAACGTCGTTGCATTTAGGAGTGTTGCCCGTTTCTTCTCCCACTCAGCTTCGCTATTTACCAGATGCACAGTCCATCGCCACCATCTCTTCTTCAAATTGCCAAGCGGACGTTGCAGCAACTTGAGCAGCTTTTTTGCGCAACATATTTTTGAAGAAAAAGTAGTAGTTAGAGGTTTCCGAATTGCATTCTTCAGAACATCCTTGACCGATTTCCCCCTTGAAAAGGAGCCAAGGATGGTAGTGAGGGATGTAATTCGGAAACCCTTAAAGTAGAGCTTCTAGTTTGTCCTGCTCCTGCATCTTCTAGTTTGTCCTCAACCTGCTGCTCGAAAGTTTGCTCGCAAAGGCACTTTCTGTGAAAATTCGTACTACCAGTAGTAGACGAACCTCTAAGACGTCTAGTTCTAGTTGCGCTCTTGATTCCAGCAGTTGCACCTGAACAATCTGTTTTTGCTGCACCAGTTTGACGATCCTCTAGACTCAACCTTTCTAACAACGTCTCCAAAGCGTCTATTTCTTCGTTCAATTCGAGATCCAGGGTGTCCTCAAGTAGAAGCTCGACAAACTCCTCGTCTAGTTGTTGCAGTGCTTCTGGCTGCGATACTGTTTGGGATTCCCTCCTATGCTGGAAAAGATGAAAAGTCGCACCAAGTCTGACTTTCCCATCTCGCTCTAGTTTTTCTTGCTGCAGTTTTCTCGCTCGTCGGGCTTGCTGCTCCATCAGAGTAGAAAAAAGGAACTCGACGTCTTCTAGTGGTGCTTCTTCGTCACCTTCTAGGAGTTCTTCGATCTCGTGGCCATTGTTGTTCTGGTGCGCATTACCAGAAGATTCCGCTTCGTTTTCTTGACACAAATGGAATAGCTGTGATGCCAAGCCACCCCTTCTTGCTGATGTTGATGTCGGCCGGGGGGCTCCCCGAAAGGAATTACTACCCCCTACTTGATCCCGATCATCTTCAGAAGAGGACCGCTGCTGCTGCTCCTCTTGTGCTACTTCTGAATCCGTGACATCAACAAGTCCACCGCCCAAAAAGCCTCCTAGTGCGCAATATGGCCAAAGGAGAGTATATAGCAAAGGCAAATAACAATGCTTGAGATCTGACCGATTATCCCTATCAGCTGCACCTTGCACATGAGGATGCTCACTATCCCAGTACTCGGCAGTGATTGTCGCCCTTTCTCGCGTTTCTTCGTCCAGCAAAACGGTAACCTCGTTTAGATGACTTCGTCCGTTTCCGATGCCGCGCGGTCTATGATGTTTAGCGTGTGCTAGAATGTTGCATCTCGGTTCCCGCATCTTGGCCCCTGTTGCCTTGTATCTCGTGAGAAAACAAGGGAAAAGGGTACCAAGATGCCGAGAAAGAAGAAGAAAAAGCTGATAGATCTTAATATGTAGTAAAGATACGGACGGAAGTCTTACGAAAGACCGTGGCAAAGGCCCCCTGGGGACATCTATTATAGTTTCTGCTTCTCGTGATTGCTCTCCTGCTTCGTTGGAGATGTGAGCTCGGGACAGAAGCGGCAAATCGGAAGATGAAGAGGACGATCCGGATATTAATGTTGCATAATGAATACGGGAAGAAGAACCTCCATGAGCATCTACCTCGCGAACAGTAGTTGCGTGTCTTCCTATTGTTCCCATTTCAACGTCCAGTTCACCTCCTGCTGGTGGACTAAAAACTCCACCGTCCGCGTCGTCTTTCACTACAATGAAATCTGCCGCATGGGGGTCACCGGGATCGATCTTGTAGAACATTATATTGCCGGGAGTTCCGAGGGCGCGTATCAGTTCTCGCATCACTACTCGGAACGTTGCTAGAGAAATTCTAGCGTCTTGCGAATGCAGCCCGTAGCAGCTGGACGACAGGAAGACCAGGACCAGACGGTAGAGGAGGACATACGCCAGTAAGGAACCCCAAATATCTTCGGAGGACCCTTTTCCGACGAAGGCTGACCCAGATGAAGCGACGGCTGAGGAGGCCTGGTAAATAATCGCGTTTGCGCTCGTGTTATAAAGAGCAGACTTTACTGAAGATGGGTCTCTCACGTGTACGTGTCTTTCCCGACCAGTAAAAACAGGTGGAGGACTTGTTCCATGCAAATAGTGCTGTTGTTGAGAAGTGTTGTCCACTGTAGAGGATTCTCCAAAAGATGTCGTTCCCGATCCCCCATACTGCATATCGCTAAGCTTAATGATGAGTGCCAACAGGGCGATGCTATCCGAAATCAAAAAAAGCGCAAATCTCCCATAGCCAAAAAGCAGATCTCTTTTTCGGAGAAGCCGGAAATTCCCTGACAGATGTCTACTTCTTGCTCGTTCAGAACTAGAACCTTCTCTAGCAGTGCTAAGGCTCTCTTCGCCTCTTGCTGGTCTAGTGCTAGTGTTAATCCTATTGCTACTACTTGTTCTACTGGCCCTTTCACTAGCAGTACTGGGTATTTCCAAACCTCCTATAGAAGTTACACCACGCGGAGGTCCTCTACTGGCATCAGAGGTGGCAGTCTCTTGGTCCTCACGTCTTGTTCCTACAACGCGTTCCGTAGTGGAACTACCTCCTGTACTTCCACTACTTGGAGACGGTGCTTCTGTGGTAGATAAGGGCATGTAATCTGTCCTTGAAGCTCCTCCGGGCCCCAAGCGGTTATGTGACGCAGAATTCAACATTGCTGTGACAAAAGCGCCATGTTGTACAGGGTCGTGACGCTCAGTTCTACTGGTGCCATTAGACCTCTTCCTAATTCATTCCTGTGGATACCCCTCAAGCGTATGCGTCACTATTCCCCTCGTAGCTATTGGGGCGCATACGGTTGAGGGATCCCTATAGAGATGGATCAGGGGAGGCCTTACTGTTAATGCCAGGCACTGTGTTGGCTGAAGGTCGCTCCTGCTCCGCCTCCAGTGTTCTCGAAGGTGTTGTAAAGGCATCATCTCTACTACTTCCACCTGATACTCCAGAAGAAGCGTTGCGTTCTCGTTCTTGTACTTCTTCCAGCTCTTCTGCTTCCAGTTGTGCCCTCGTCTCCGTTTCTGCTGCATCATGTAGTACAGCTTCCAGGTTTTGCATCATCCTTTCTGGTGTTGCGCTATCACTAAAAACCCTCCTTCTACTGCAAGCCCTTTGCTTGTCAATGATAGCGTCTGTGTCGGTTGTCTGAAAGTTATTTGCTGTTGCTGTAGAAGAAGACCTTCTACCAGCAGGGCGGACAGGAGAGTCATCGATATCAGCTGCAGAGCTTCGCTCATCGTCCTGAGTTGACAAAGTTCTAGCAGTGACACTGGTAGAGGCAGTAGAAGTTGACGTTGTGCTCGTTCTTTTTTTACTTCTGCTTCTGGTGATATCTTCCAGAATCGCATTTTCAGCACGCTGAATCTTTTTCGCTAGTCGTTCCACTTCGGTCTCTACCGTTCTTGCCTCAACACTAGTAAGTGTAACTGTATGATTCGAACCATTAATTCCGCCATCTCGTTCTGTACGACCAGCAACAGTTGTGCCAGTACCTCTACCACTACTAAGAATATACGTATACCTACGTCCTCCTCCAGCTCCACGTGTACCCCTACCGCTACTAAGATTATCCCTACGTGTCTGAGCCACCGCAGATAAGGGCACCTGCCCAGGTTTCAATTCACGATTCCTGACTTTAGCGCCCAATACGTCGACTAGCGCGTCTGCCATACGGCCTAAGCCAACTAGTCTTGCCCGGTCCTGAAAACCTCGTTGTCGAACGAGAACAGAAGCGACTGAGGTCGCAATAGCATCTGCATGCTTCGAGGAGGTATTGATGGAAGATCTACTTCTACTCTCTTCCTGTTGTTCGTCTTCATCACGCAGTGTGGCAATCAAGGATTTGTCAGCTATTCTGCTATTGGTGACCCCCAAAGCTCGTTCAAGACTATCACTCAGAGCTTCCCAAAGAATCTGGCGCTCCGTAGGTGAGAGTTGCGGGGGTTCTTCGTCTTTGCCCATTTCTTCTTCTGGATTTTCGACAGCAGCATTGTCGGCTTGGACAGCAGGACTAGGAATCGGGCTCGTGTGCCCCTGCTCTGCATCAACACCTCCTTCCGCCTGTAACGGTGGACACCCTGTCTCTACTTCCGATTTCATCTGCTTTTCCTTTTCTTCTTTCATTTTCCGGTCCTCTGCCCTGGGGCTGAGCTCCCGAAATCCGAGTCCCGCGCCATCACGCGCTTCATGCATACCATCTGCTTGTCCCTCATCAGCTACATCATTCTCATCTATCTCATCCCAGATCACAGCAGATGAAGCATTAGTACCGCCAGTGGATTCGCGACTAGTAGTAGGGCTAGTGACATTTCTTGCAGAAGATTTTTTTAGACTGTCTACTTGTTGCACGAGCACTTCACCTTGTTTTATTCCACCTTCTTCAAAACTGCAACTGGAATCATGAAAAGAATTTCCAGTCACCTCGACCTGAGTCTGATTCTGGCTTCTCGGCATTCCACCCGCAGCTGCAATTAGAGCTGCATCAACTTCCTCCCATGACAGGTAAAAAGGCTCAACTTCTGGAGAAATTCCTGTGAATATCGCTCGACGCAACCTCCTTCGCAAATGGCTCAAGTAACGACATTTGTAACAGCTGGGCGAATCGCAAGCAAATGAAAAGGTTTCTTCTACGGTACCATCGGCGTTAGGTTGTTGTTGGTCCTCCTCAGGAGATGTAGGGCTTGCCGGAGTAAGTTCAGCGAGTGCTGTTGGATCCGGACAAACCGACAACAGTGACTCATAACAAGAACTTTTGCTCCTGGGCGAAGTCTGCGGACTTCTTGGTATCCCCTGCCAACGACTAACAACCGGACGCGGACTACTTGCTCGCTCTCTCGTACTTGACAGGAGGCCCAGGCGTGAAGAAGGTGATCCGTTACCAACAGCACTAGCATTACCAGCAATAGCATTACTAACAAAACTCGCAGGAGGATTCCCACCAGCAGTTGTATTTGTTGTAGGTCCTCGAGCTCTCCTCTTTCCCTCTCCGCGACCACCACTAGCACTGCTTCTAAAAGAAGACTCCCTTCCAAATGTTTCTTCTGGCAAAAAGTTGAATAAGTTTTCCCATCTAGGGTACGAAGGCGGCACGTGGCATGAAGGACAGAAGGCTTTTTGGTTTTCTAGGGTTTTTTGGTTCATCCACGTAAAAGCGCACTGAGAACAAATCAGGTGTCCACATGGATACGCAGCGGCAAGTTTGCAGTCCGGAAGCTCTTGCTCTGCAGGCACTAGATCTTCCTCTCCTTCTTTGATACAAGGACGAGCATCTTCTTTACTTGAATCTTCACCGGAAGTACTAGCTGTCAATGTATGATGCAGCGAAGTGAAGCACATCGGACAAACGGGACAAATGGGAGCCCCCTTTTGTTCGTCTGAAGTTGTTTCTCTTTCGTCTGATTCTGAGAGCTGCTTGCCGTCGAAATTCAGCAAGCGTAGGGCTAGGACTAATCGTAATTGAGACGCTGAGAGTTTAGCTTGCATATTCTGCTTTTTTAGGTCTGAAAGAGACCAACGGGAAAGTGGTGATGGATCTAGAGGCTCGCTTCCTTCTTTGTCTTGTTCCACTACTTGACACGGACCAGCGGCAGCAGCAGCAGCAGCAGCATCTCCGACTCCATGAGGTGGGTTAATATCATTCAAATCGAGAAACGCTACGCCTCTTGCTATTTCTTCCTCGAGGTCCTCTATTTCATCGTCCGCCTCCGCTTTATCTGATGATACAAGGTGGTCCTTCGCCTTCGCGCCCTTCCCTACGTTATTCGTATTCCCTTGGGTTGTACCAATAATAACTCCTGCTCCACTTCTCAGTCTTTCATCCGTGCCTTCTCTAATGGGTGCTAGCAGTGACAACATATGAACGTCCTTCGATCGTCGTGGAACGGATCGCGCTCTAAGCGGGTCAGCTCTGGCTCTTTTCGCAGCTCTCTTCTTTTGCAAAGCCACCAAGGATTCGAGCGGAATAGGCGCAGTCGGTCGTTGGATATTAAAAAGGCTATTCTGTCCACTCTGACTGGCACTGTCTATTCTGTCTGGCACTGTTGGAACTAGCGAAGGTTGAGTTGGAGGGGGATGACGGGCTGGCAGCGGTGGTACTACAGAAGGCGCCGGATCACTTGCTGCACTGAAGTAGATGTTGTCCTTCGGAATTACAGACGGCTGGTAACGAGCTGGCAGTGGAGGTGGAGGTAAACGTTCTTCTTGTACAACTACAGGTCGACGTAGTGGTAGAGGATCAGAAGACGAGGAAGCTCTTTGGCTTTGGCTATGATCTTCTGTTTCGCTTCCACTCATAGGGTGAACTTGAACTCTGTCACCTTCACCACGGTGAGACGCACTCCTGAAGTTTCCCACCATTATCTCTTCGAGCAGAGGCGCTGAAGGAACAGCACGACTTTGGCTGCTGCTCGCAGCTGCGATTTCATCATGCGCATCTGTCGATGACGGAGCTCCTGGAGGAACGCCAGCATTTGCGTAGGTAGCAATCGTCAAGAAGGTCACCAATGAAAAGCGACCCAAAAATAAGGGCGAAACTAGACTCAGGGCAAATGACATATTATTGCTGGAGGTCTCACTAAATGAGGTCATGGTCATGCGTTCTACTTGAATTAAATTTAAGTAAAGTAGTGTGAAGAGCGTTTCCTCGCGCCTGAAACAAGAACTAAAGTGCAAGTAGTGCAAGCTCAATATCATCAAACACGAATGATCATTCTAGGAATTATAGGATGGCCGCTTGCACTTGTGTTCAGTTAACAACCTGCTCACGCTCAGCAATGTAGTATCTTTTTCAAGTCGGGTCTTTTTGGATGGTCGGTTTCTTCACTTCTATAGTAGAGTCTCTAGAGTTTCACTGACTGTTGGACAGGGTAAATCAGATCATGCATGATAACTCGTTCAAACGATGTTGAAGCTGTTCTTCCAAATAATTCGATCCTGTAAGTAGCGCCAGAACCAAATGCGGCCTTTCTGGACGTAACGAATAGCGATATTACGTAGCGCATCAAGAGCCTCTTGTAACATCGCTTTTGTCCTTGTCGGTGTATCATCAAAAAGATGTTGACTACTTTCGACAGCAAATCTATAATGAGCATGCACTCAAAATGAAACCATCAAAACATAGGTGTTCTGAATTCCATTTCGATTTCGTGTGGGTCTTTCAATATCAAGTGATGAAATGCGCATGCATCATTTAGACGCTCCTTCAATTCTTCTATGACTTGCATTTGCAGGTCTGAGTGTCGTTTGGTGTCGGTTAGTTCTGCAGATTAGAGCACAACAAAATAGTGGCAATTCATCTCCTCAGACTACTTATTTCTCGGAATCACAGAGAAAGATGAACAGCTGAAATGAATCAATCCTAAGAACAAGCCAGAAGCCTTAAGAGAAGGTGTAATTTTTCAGCACTTGTCTCGCGTCAATGTCGAATTCCTTCTCTAGAAAGCCACGCCCAAAATCACGTCCGAAATTGGTCCAGATCTCGGGTGCCCAATGCAGCTTGATTTGCAAAGCGATGCGCATGTGGATCTGGTGTTTATCATGTTTCGAAAGTAGGGTGACGATGAGGGTACGATCAACATCTTCACAGAGTGAAGGGAATGTTCCTAATGTTGAGGGTTATCTTCTATCTATTAACATCACGCCTCAGATCAACAGAAGATGTTGTAGTTCTCACAGTTAGCAGTTGTAGTCTACCTCAACATCTTTATTATCTGCCGTCTTGTATGTTCGGATAAAACGCTTTAGAACAGGACTGAGGCGCATAGAGACATAGGAGTCCTTCAACGGGTTGGTCAAAAGCATCATACCACCATCGAAAACGTGCGGTTGGGCCTGTGATGATGATGCTGTAGTTGAAGTTGAATTTATGGACTCTTCGCACTCGACTAGCATCATGAAGGTTGAAATCTCCAGCCTCTCATCGTTGTAGTTGTAATTTAGAGAGTTTCGCTCTTTGTGGATTTCTGAAATGCATGGGATGGATTGCATGCATTGCAATGGATGGCACTATTTAGAACGAAGATTTTTTTCAGGGCGCCCTTCGGGCGCCATCGTCCGCACTCACTGTAGTCGTGTTCCACCTTCCAACAGCTTGGGCGCAGGCAACTTTGAAGCATTCACTTCCGGGCGCAGCATAGTACGCAGGCTACAGTCAGAACACCCCCCCCAAAGACCACCTCCCCAACGCCGGCAACGCAGAGGGCCGTAGATACGTGCCGCAGCCTGTGCACGAAAGAGAACTAGCGCGCTTGCTGTGTGCCTACTTAAACCCAGCCGGAAATCAAGGCCAGACTGATAGCCGAACGCCACTGCCTTCCTGTTCCTTCTAACGCGGGCCCATAGCGAAAAAGTATAGGCATCAATATACTGTAGGCACACTGGTCGCAAGTAGCACGGCAATGCCATCCCATTCCCAGGAGGCAATGGGGGGCTTCATAATCTAACACCTTAAGCACTGACTTATGCCCATCGACCACTACGCACTTACTTAGGGGCCCGGCTTCTATCTAGCTGCGAATCTCTAGGCTAGTTTGCTGGCATCTCCAACGCGGCCAGGCGTCAGGCGCTCTACGTCCTCCCTGCAGCCAGCTCGAACCGAAAGGGAACCCACGCGCGGCCTCAGCACTCCTACGAGAAACGGCCCCCCTATCCGCGGGCGGGCAGAGCGCAACAAGATAAGCAAGGCGACGGCCTTCCTGTGGCCTTGTCAGGCGGGGCGCTGCGTTCAAGCAGAGAAGTGCGCACTTCCCCTTTAAAAAGGTCACGCCTTCGCTCCTCCTGGCCATGCCATCCATGCAATGCATTGCAATCCATGCAAGCCATCCCCCATCTTAGGAAATGCTCTAGCTAATTGTAGTCGCACAAAAAATCATTCTACTTCTAGTACCTTCCCATCATTTATCAGCAGTCCAACGCACCCAGCACTTATCTTTCTCACTGAGAACCACAAGCTGCCTGCGAGGCAAAAGGTTGAGGCGAATAACAGGAAATTTACGCGATTCCTTCTGATAGCGTAGAGGGGTGTCTGGAACGTTCGGGTTAGCATATATCTCGTCACCCTGGTCCCCAAGACCAGCTTCTGAGAGCGGGATAGAGTGGCGGGGACGGGGGCTGACATCTTGCGGTGCTGTTCTTGTTTGTTGGTAAAAGAAGGCCACAGGCGAAGATGAAGCAGTAGTTATGGCGTAGACGCTTCCGAAATCCAGTGGCACCTAACCCAGCCCGGCATCGAAGCCTTGGCCGGCAACGAAAGGAAAAGCAAAAGCACTTGTGTCAGCCATGCAGTTTTGCTTTTTTAGGGTCTCGATGAGATGAGTGAATAGGTGGACTCATGGGACGTTCAATGCAGCGCATGAACTACTCAGAAAACAAAACAGCCGTTCTCATCACTCGGTGCTCGTCCCATGCTTCCCTCGCAGGGCTTCGCCAAAAAGCCCCAACGTATCTCTCAATTTCTTGCGCATCTTCATCGCGTAATCGGGAAGCGGCGTTTGGTCTCAGACACTTCAACATGTCCAACAACGACTAATATGCGGGTGGCAGCCGTATTTGTAGTGTACTTCTCCCATGGAGTAGGAATCTCAGTTAGCAAAGTGAACTACGACGACAAGCATTTACTAGTCGCTTTATTTTCACAAGCAATGTCAGTAGACACAATCAACAACGAACTTGAATAGATGGCAAAATTTGCAACAGGCAACAGAAATCAATCAACAGGCAACAAGCAGGCAGCTATAGTGCCAGTGCAACGCAACTGTAATGCACAGATGAATGACAACACAAGAAGCCAAATAAAGGTGATAAATTACTTAGATTATAACACGAACCAGTTTGTACTATAGCAACAACTACTTGTATACTTATACTAAACCACCGAAACAACTGCAGCTCCCATCTCCCCAGCCTTTCTTTCTTCTTCACTCCCTAGCAGGTCTTCGTGCAAGTTCTGCAAGGCTATTTGGCGCAATCGCTTGCACTCGTCTTCCTCCAAGTCTCGGTGAAACCGAAGTTGGTCCAGGACTTCCTGCTGCCTCCCTAACACCCGCTCTTGCTGACGCATACGTCTCAACAAAGCCGTTGAGGAAACTAAACCGGTAGAGCAGAGCAGCGCGATTTCGTACTCTTGGATGGCGAGGAAGATCTTCCGCCTGAGTCTTTCTTCTGTGCGTTCTATCCTTCGACTATCCTCAATCAACTCCTGGACACGGAGATCTAGCCCCTCGCGCAAGATCTTCAGCAACTGCACCTCTCTGGACAGGATATACTTGCTGTGCTCTGTCTTCAGACGGCGGTTGGTCGCAGCACAGGTTAGAAGAAGCTAAAACTCTGGACCGAATGCGAACAATGGTCATGCTCATGGTCAACATGCTGCTCATAATGACTGTCAATACCAGAAAATTTAAAGGACAGTGAAAACGAAAAGAGATCAATGCTGTACTGAACATTCAAGTATGAAGTGAACAGATCATATTGATCCACAAAACACAGCTATGGAGTGAGCAGTTCTTGCCCTCGCCATATCATCATATTCCACTCATCCGTGTACCTCGCCTGCTCGTCCTCTTCCCCATTATGCACCTCGTCAAACCGGTTACTGTGATCTGCCAAAAGATACGCAAACCGTTCCTGATCAGCCAGTAATAGCTGCTGACATGCGGTCAACTCTTGCAACTGCAAGTCGTACAAAGCCGCTAGTTCTTTTGCCTCTGCTTCGTACAGTTTGTGCCTTTCCAACGGCCCAAGCTCTTCTTCGTCTCGGACTAGTTGATCTGCGCGCATCACATTGGCGGTGGTGAGAGATTTGATCTCTTTGTTGTTTCTCCTGACTACTACGCGTCGCTCGTCAGCCAGTTTCCGGATGCGTGCGCGTCGACCGTTGAGACGTAGCGGGATATTTGCCTTCTCTTTCGCTTTTTTTGAATCTTCTACTTCGGTTTGTAATGTTCTTGGAACTACAATTTTACTAGAAGCTGCAGACGGCTTCGTCTGTCTTGTTCGTTCTTCCACTGCTTTTTTCTGTGCATAGGCAGCAAAACCTGTCTGTGCAGCTAAAGGCGGCTCTATAGCAGTCGCTTCCTCCTCTTGAATACCTCTCAGCACTACTGTGTCTCCGGAAAGAAACTGATCTCTGCCCTGCTTCTCTAGACACAAAAAGGGAGCGGCAATCAGATGTAGTTCCACTGAGTGTCTTATGCTAGCTTCAGCTGCTGCGAAATCCTTGCTGTCTTCATCGAAAAATTGAGAAACATCATCAGCCACCAAGGACCTGCAAATCCAAGAAGTCAACGGCGCACGACGAACCCTAGCACTATCAAAGCCATGATCATCATGGTCTACTCCTCCTTCAGCTTCATGGTCTATCGATGGTGCGTTTTTTCCGGATTTTCCTACCTTCGAACTTGTAGCAGCAGACGCCGGATAAAGCCAAGTATCGATTTCCCTCTCTACTCTTCTTGTCAGGTGATGCACGTCTTGCGTATCAATTTCGTCGATTTCTTGGTCGCCAACAGCTGTTGTCCCCTTACTTTCACTAGCACCTCCTCCACCATCGTAGTGTGGCTGAAGATCTGAGACCATAGAACTCACAATTTGTGATCGTTCCGCTGCAAAGTCTTCGACTGGTACCTCTCGGATGACCCGAATGAATTGACCAGTATGGAGTCGACGTTTCGATGTGCTAGATGCTGATGGGGTAGGTACATCAGTCAGAGCCCCTGCACCGCCATCCGGCAGACAAATTCTAGCAATGTCACCAACATTGATCACACCATGGCTACTCAAATGGCTGGTCAAGCAGGTAACTTTTTCTCCTTCTGGCAGTTTGGATGAGTTTAGTAGAGAGCTTTCACCTCCTCCAACAAGGTCCTCTACTGGGTCATAGCGACGAATGTGATGTAAGCTGACAACACGAACCGTACCAGCAGAATCTCCATCTCGCTTCTTAGATGAAGACTCATCGGCACAAACTTGAACCTGCAAATAGCCTCCAGGAAAAATCGCCAACACTATACCCCGACTTCTCTGTGTCTGTGATCTAGCATTACCAGAGCCACCTCCGCCAGCACTACCAGTACCACCTCCGCCAACACTACCCCCAATAGCACCAGCACTACTCCCAGTTGCACTACTGTCCCAAACAAACACCGGGTCCCCGACTCGAGGATGATACTCCAAATCTCTCGGAAAGCATTTGAAAGCTTTCACGCCCCCTTTTTTCTGGTACAGCTGTGCCCCTGACGGATCTGCCAACGCGGCTAGAGGGTCATTCCTGACGTCGATTTCGACACAGCTGAAGATGTCTCGATGCGCGTCGTCGAATTCGCGGTTCACAATCTGGACAATCTTGTTCACGTTGGGGAGCTGCAAACGTCGAGGATTCGCTTCGGTAATTTTAGAAGCTAAGACGAAAGAGATCACCAGTCGTTTTATCGTACTTGCAGTGACTGAAACAATCTTGGTGGATGCGGGTCCAAGCATGATCACGAAGCACAAGTCATGCTTCAAACTGAAAGGTTTTCATCAAGAACAAGCTGTACTCCCGTCATAACCTGCAGCCCTCTCGCTCTCGTTGCTGCCAAATCTCCTACTGCCAAAAACTTCGACAACAACGTTGGCAGCGCGTCTATGGAAACGCTTTCATCCCGTATTTTAGCACAGGTTTCCGCTGTCAAACGTATACGCCAGACTGAGTAGCTTCTGTTGATCGTCTCACTCTCGTTCTCTGCAGAAGACGTAGAGGTTTTTTGCTTCCACCTAGTACTTCCCGTCTTGCCGGCGTCATCAGTCCACCTCAACAATGTACTTTCACCACCTTCGCATGCTGTGATTGTCTCGACTCGACCCACACAACCATGATACGCAAAAAGAGCATCTCGTTCCCCCTGAGACAATCTAGCGAATTCCTTCTTGTACCTGCCAGATAGAAGCCGATGTGCCTCAATCCGAACCAGCGAGCCAACTCCAGTGCCAGCAAGGTTGGGGTTCAAGGAGTAGCTGTAGGAAGAAGCTAAAGCAGCATCATGAAGATCATCCAGAGGTTCATCCTCCGCAAAAAGTTCGACCGTAACGGGTTGTTGCTCCACACATACCCCCATCAATTCTACGTTACGTCCATTCAAGTCTTGATAATCGCGAGTATGCTCAGGAACGCCTCGTATCTGCACTATGTCGCGGGGAAGAAGGCCATCTGAAGCATATAAGGAGTGGAAGTTATCATGTTAAAAAGAAGGATTAACAAGGAGAACATTCATCAAACATGAAGTAAGATCATGGAATTATCAGACTATTCAAATATGTTTTCCAATAAATTGACACGGTGACAAGGACAACTGAAACCTCATCGTTATCAAACAGCCACATGCTAAGAAATACGATAGCTCCCCTCCGTCAAGAATCCGGTAGCCGGGTCCACCTTCTGAGGAGGATCGCGTAAAGTCGGATCCGCTTTCAGGTTGATTTTTTTCATCCTATAATGTAAGTCTTCCAACTGGTTCATCTCCACTGTTTCCTGTTCACGCAAAGCTCGAGGCCTCCTCCTTCTCGCCACAGAGGACAACCAGTGCAACGGAAAGCGATGACTACTTGACTTCTTCTCTACTAGATTCTTGACTAATTGTCGGACATCCTCACGTTCGTCTGGAGCAAGAACCTTATTTTCAGTTTCTCCATCTGCTCCAGTAGCACGACTAGAGGGTAGTGGGTAAAAAGTCGCCAACAATTCCATCAAGTCGCCTTTCCCTGGTAACGTACGAAATCTAGTACTTGAAGCAGCGCCAGAGGCTGAGGCGCCAGAACTCGCGGAGATTGCAGCACCTATGTCTCGCAGCTGTGCTGGCGCAAGTTTCAGAGCTGCTCCTACATTGGCTATGGCAAAGAAATCTTCTGCGGTTTTCATTTCCTCGGCATTGAGTTCTAGAATTCCATCATCAGGAGGTGGGAGAGCTGCTTTTCGCTTCCTTTCCTCCTCTAGTTCAGTCTCGATCCTCAAGCGTTCTCTTCTTTCTTTCTCCTTTTTCAACTTTCGAGCTGCTTCCTTTCTCGCAGCATCTGCAGCCGCCGCTTCATCTTCTGCTTTTGCAAGTCTTCCTTTCTCCTCCTTCTCCTTATTTTCCTCCAAAGCTCTGGATTCATCCACCGACATGATCTGGATACTGCCATCCGCGCCTTTCGTCACTACCGGCTCAGGTGGTTTTGGCGGTGGTGGTGTGATCTTGATGCCCCATGTCTGAGGCATTTCCCGTCTCGTGTTGACATCGAATTTCCGAGTTGGCTCTCCAAATTTCTGGAAGGTGTCCTTGTTTGGATTAGAATGCGAAGAAGGGGATTAAGTATTTAGGACGAAACCAATGACGGGCGGCTGGAAGAGAAGTTAATATGATACTGCTGATAGTCAGATACAAGTCCTTACATACGATGCTACTGGGCAGTAGCAGGATATTAGAATACGAACACAATGGAAACCCATCAAATTCAAGGATAGAATTGGTAGAATGATCGCTTACACAGGCCGCGGACGACCACCAAAAGTGCCACTTATTCTGCCTGTTGCCATAACATCCCCCGCCGCTGACCCTGACGTTATGCTTTTCGGAGTCATCGGTGCGCCATTTGGTCCTATTGGTGGTGGTGGCTGTCGTCTCAAAAACATCTGCAGTGGTCTCATTTTTGACCTTGCAGATCCACTTTTTGAAAAGTAGTCTGCCACTTTTTCCGGATGCCTCAATGCAGAATCCACGCCTATGATCAAAACCTGATCTCCGCTCTGCAGTTGCCGTCTCGCTGCCCAGGTGCTTTTTCCATCTTCTAAGAAGGGGACTACGCTCTTGATCTTAGTCAATCCAACTGGTTGCTTTTCGTCCGTTTCGGCGACAGATTGCGGCATGACGATTCCAATTTCATCGCTACCCAAGCCTTCTGCTGCGGTTATTTCCAATTGCACGTACTGGCTTTGGTATTTGCGACGCAGGAAGACGAACGAGCAAGCTCCCAGCTCTTTCGAATTGGGGATTTGAGAGAGGCAAATAGAAGGAAAGATGTTTACGTGTTGGAGTCAGGGGTTTATTGTAGTTCTACTGTCTGAATGCTTCCATTATTTTTTTACGCGCGAAATTACCAACGTCATACTTTTTCATCCGTCAAGCACTAACAGTGAAGCACAACCGCTGAAAATAATAAGAGCTCATAGTAGAACTTCTAGGGCTAGTTACGATGCAAAATCCTTCTTCATACACTTTCTTTTCCTGCTCTCGCCTCCGCGTCGGCTTTCTTCAGCATCGTTTGAATCTGTCCAAGGAGCGCACTTTCTGGCGATGTACCTTTCCACGTGGTCACCGCTGTGGTCCTTTGTCCAGCTGCCAAGATCATCATGTCACCTATTTGCAGACCACTCTTGGCTGCCTTGCTTGCGACCAGGTTCGGTAAGGTTGATGTAGTGCTGTTATCAGCACTAGCCGATGATGGCGGCCGCATGAGCACGTCCTGGACGTATTTCCGGACATTGTCCCGCAATGCTTCCTCAGGGCCTTTGAAATCTTGCAGGACTATTAGAAGCAGTTGGAGTTGCAGGGTCGTGCCAGAAGCTTTCATCAAGACAAAGTAGGAAGGAAAACCTCACTCTAATCTTTGAAGTTTTAGTCTTCAGCAAGAAACAATTAGTAGTGATGCAGGGTGGAGATGAACAGACTATGTTCTTGTAGTACTTCCATAAATTCGGCACTTTCGCACGTATTCGCTTCACCAAAACTCGAGGAAAGCATGTCCAGTCGAAAGCGATGCCAAGGATAGCTTCCACCTTCTGCGCTGACCGGATCTTAGGATCAGCCAAGACGGCTTCCGGTAGGAGGCCGAGGTTTAGAACTTCGTCGTTGTAGGTAAATATCGTCGTAGTCGTCTATTTATAAGTGCATTCATTGCGTCTTTCTCAATATGTTGCAGGTTAGTGTAGTTTTCTCCGTCTCCCTAGTAGTAGTAGTAGCTGTGTAGAAATACTGCTACTTCGTCTAACCATAGCAACTACAACTCACTTAGATTGTTCTTGTCAAAGAACCGTGTCTTTCATCACTTTCTCTTAACTTCTGCACCCACCCAGTGAAGCCAAACTCCCGCATACGGGAGAGAGCGATACTCTCCGCGAAATTCGCATACAGGAAAGCGGCAGGTTGCGATGTACCGGGGGCTTATATTGGAGCTCGAATAGGCATATGCATAGGCTCGAATGTGCTATATTTCCCGTATCTCCATGTTACAACGACTAAACACGTGGAAGTGGCTCTACTTTGCTCATGCGCGTTGTGACGACTTGTAGGTAAGATTTTTCAGCTATCTTCTCACTACAAAAATAGCTGCACGCAGACTGAGTGACGCACATGCTGCAAAAGAAAAACATTGAGCACCACGCCGGGCCTTAATTTACTTGCTCTACTAGCCGAGCGAGGCTTTTGCTCGTCCTCGTCATCGTCTCCCATGTTCCTGCTCCTGAGTTTTTCCTCGCGAAACTGTTTGTCAAAGGGTTAAGTGAGAGCGACTAGATGGACTTCGAGTAACGTAATCCAATATGAGTGAGTGTGCCCTCACTGGGCTGGTGAATTAGAGTGTTACTCGAACTGCTCCATTGCTTGGGTAAAAAAAAAAAAACTTGACTTTGTTCCACAACACAAGAAGTCTCTAAGAAGTCTCTACTTCTCTTCGGTTTTAGAACGTTTTCGACAATCGCTCTTTTCCTTTCATCGCTCAGTGTTTATGTTTGCAACAGGTACTAAAGAAGTTCCTTCTATTTTCATCATCATGTCATGCGTGTATAATCCCTGATCATAGTGCTGTCCGTAGCACCCGTAGATCATCCAACATCCACACTCTGTTTCTCTCACATATTTATACTCTTCAAGGCATTTATCTCGACACCGCTCAATGACTTTCAAGAAAAGTCAAGATGCAAGAACTTTTTCTTCCTACTTCTTCCCATTTTTGTTCGGACGATGAGAGCGTAAAGTGACCTACTTCATCGTCGCGGCTCCGCACGACTCGTCACTAACAGATCATACATTTCATTGCACAGAATCTTCAGACTTCGACGATACATGGATGCGGTTGACAAAAAAACAGTTCTTGTGATCGTGTCTGTCTAATATGTGTACCAAAAATACTATGATGCAAAACTGAATGCATTGAGTGTATGTACTTACTCGGGGAGTTCCACCCTCTAGTACTTTTACTGTATTCATTCAACATGAAGAAAAAGTCTCTGACTTTCAAAGCCGTGCTATGATTTAACACCAACAAACAACTCCTGTAGAGAGGTGCAAGTTCAAGTACATCTGTTGATAGAATAATTCTATGTATTGACCACCATGTGGTCATGGGATTGAAAAATGTTGCAGACTTCAAAAAACCACAATTTTGAGGACATCCTGTCAGGCTCTCAGAGCTCAACCCCCATAAACGAGCGCAAAAGTGGAAGCAGCACACAGCAGAGGCAGGTTCGCACGCTGGCAGAAAAAAAGAGATACAAACACATACACCTCGAAGATGTTTTAGTGAAGTAGAAGAGTGATCTGTAGTTATGCCTATGCACGACCACGACTACATCATCATGTAAACAACTCTTATAATTATAGTCTAGTTATTCATGACGCCTAGCATTCATCAGTTGCGCAGGCGCAGCTACAGAATTATAATAGAATCGATTAAAAAATGCTTCTCCTGAGAGTTCTTTTCATTCGAGAGACCGAAGCAAAACTCAGAAGTCCAAAAAAAGCCCCATAAGATCGAAAGTACTCTAGTACACAAGAATCGATCTGAGCAAAATATCCAATTTTCCTACCTTCATCTGTAGTTTTTAATCTATCATCAATTGTCGTTTTTACATAAAAAAAAAATTTCAAATGGAGGAAAGATCCTCTACAGTTTGATGTATATTTTTCAGTCGAGCACCAAGTAGAAAAAGAAACGAGTGAAAAAATCACAAGTAAGAGAATACTCACAGCAACACGATTACTTAATGTTCTTGAATCCACATCTTCCACTACTAATCATGTCATCCAGATGAAGTTGTAATTTGCTGCAGCTCGATTCCGTAAGCTCTTCGTCGTGTTCTAAGTACACAGTTATAGAGAATTCGAGTCCCACCTACCGTGTCTTCTTTTCTTAGCTCGCAGTAGGCTCCTGATCAGCTCCTGTTCAGATCCAGTTCTTCAAGCATTTGGCTCGCAGTAGGCTCCTGATCAGCCCCTGTTCAGATCCAGTTCTTCAGGCGCATGCATTTGGAGGTTGCTCATACCATAGCTCGCCGTCCTCTCCCGCCCAGGTGTTGTTAGCAGACGAAATTCAAATAAGAATTTTGAATGGTCTTCTTGACTAACTCATTTATTGAAAGTAGATTCTAGTTCCACCTGTCGACGAGGATTCTGTGAATGATTCTTTTTTGCATCATCAACAGCCATTTAATGTTGCTGTCGTAGCCGGCCCCTACCTAGGAAAAGGATGTAAAGAAGTGAACCTAACCCATATCACAGAAGCGAGACTGAGATAAAAAGGTTTTGGTATATATATCGATCGAGAACAGCCTCAGCCATAATGTTGCTTGCTGTTTGCCTCGACCATTGTTCTCTGCCGTCTGCACTATTGTTGAAGGCCGACGCTCATTGGTCACTTGCTGAACGGATGCGATCACCTTCAAAGCTCTCCCCTTTTTCCTCCATTTTCCCCTGCTCCTTCTTTCAAGGGGACCAGCGTTCTTCAGTC